TTTTTTTAGTTTTGTTTTGAGTGGAAGAATTTTTTTTTATTTTTTATTATTATTATTTATATATAGGAGAAAGAGCTAGAAAACTTGCTTCACCAAATACACTTTTATGTCAAAGTGTTTCATGCTTGAGTATATATACCGGTTTTATAATATTAATATATATATATATATATAATATAAAACAAACAAAAAAAATTCGGGGGCCTTGTGAAGTGATGCCACTTGCACCAGTGACCATATAATATCAAAGAATATTGTGTTCACTCTGGTAAATCTTTTCACAAAATTGAGTCGGTGAATTAAAATACAACCTTCGCTTACATCAAATGTGGAACATTTTAGGACGACAAAGCACATTCAAACATTATGGTTGAGGTGACTTTGCATTGTTTTTAGCGCATGTATTTATGTATAATAATAATTTATACTTTTAAGCAGATTTTGTTTTGAATGTCTTACATTCATGGCTCAAGAATATAGTTGAGTTATCTGGTGATTTTTTAGAGGATAATTGTATCTAAATTGACGATTTTACAGGTCCAATAGATAGAAATTTGATGAAATTTGAGGGAAAAAGTAAAAATTGAAACATGTGCGGGATAATTGGAGGACCAAAATGATTCAAAAATGAATTGGAGGACCAATATAAAACTCGAGTATAAGTCCATAGACCATTACAAATAGATACTGTTTAAATAAAAGAAACTCTCGAAACCAAATGGAATGATAATAAGCTAGCCTCATTTAAGTGATACTATTTTATGATTTTAGTAGATGCATCTGCAAGATGGGTTTTCACTTGTAAACTCGTAATGTTGCATTTGCTAGACTTATTATCAAGTAATTAAATTACGAGCACAATTCCTAACGCTCCTAAGCTTACTTTCCAAAACTTTTGATAACTATTGCATGTGACTTGGGCATTGATGGCTTAGCAGCAGTTTCTATTAAGCGTCTTGCTCGCACTTTGCTTTTGAGAACAAAGCCGCCAATTTCGGAGACAAATGCAGCATCATACTTACGACTGAGAACCGTTACCAACCATCAATATTCACTTTTACAATCATTTGCTCGGTTCAGAAGTATTATACCAACCATCAGTACTCTATTTTACAACTTGCTTTTGAGAGGCAACCCAATATTTCACATTCCAGGCTTTTTAGTTGTGAAGCTTATGTGCCTGTTGTTCCCTCACAATGCACTAAAATTGGTCCTTAACTTCCACTGCAGAGTTATATTGACTTTAATTCACTAAAATTGATCCTTAACGTCGATTGCAGAGTTATATTGACTTTAATTCGCCGCATATTATTCGATATATCTTGAACCCTTGACGGGTGGATTTGTCGCAATAAAAAGCTCTCCGTCGCCTGGTTAATTTGTTAAACTAAACTTTGATGGTCTGATGCTGCGATCAGACTATGTAGCTGAGTGTCTTAATGCTTTTGGTGCCTCTCTGTGCTACTACAGAGTATCAAATTGGTTGTGTTGACTAGTTTTTTTCTTTTGCTGTGGCAAATAAGCTTCTGCTTCCTGTGATGAGTTGTGAGTTTAAAGTTTTTAGTTGGACCCCAAGCATATAACCAGTTGTTCCTTTTGTAGAGTTTTTACAGAAGTTGCTTAGATACGAGAATAAAGTTGCAAGTGACAACTTTTTGGTTTTCCCAAGCAAAAGTTCTTCCTTATACAATGATCGGCGTATATGCTAAACTTGCGATGAAGTTAAAGTCACTACCAAATGTGTGAATTTCAAGAAATCATTCTAAGCCTCCCAGGCAAATAAAGTCATTATATTTGCTTTTTCCTTTCGGCCTACTTGCTCAATAGCAAAGTGCACATCCAAATATATTTGAATAATAAGGGTGACAGATCCTATATTCTTAGTTAAATTTCAAGTGCCTAAAACCTATGGTTTACTATAAAATGCAGAAACTAGGGAATATCAAAGCTTTGCTTTGTTTAGACAAGCAACTAAAAAATAGCCTGAGATTGGAAGTGAAAAAACCATAGTTTCCATGGGGGATGTAAGGGAAAGTCGTAAGGAGAAGAGATTCAGAAAATTGAGGGATGCACCAAAAAGTCCAATTCCCAGCTCGCAACCGAAGATCCAAAAGGTTCCCTTCATGCTCCGGGATCACAAAAATTTCGACAAATACTATGTGCCAAGGGCAGTAGCAATTGGCCCTTTCCATCGTGGTAATCCAAGGTGCAAGCTGGCACAAAAATACAAGCGTATGTTGACAAAAAAGTTTGCCGAATTTGTTGGCCAGAAAGATGAAGATTTGTATAAGAAGATTGAGGAGAAGATCAAAGAACTAAGGGAATGCTACGTCAAGGAAGCAACAGAGCACATTGATGATGATGACCTCGCCTGGATGTTGTTCTTAGATGGGTGTTCAACCTTACAATTCATATACTCCCTCATGAACGAGCATGAAGGGTTTGAGATCAAAAGAGACCAGGTAGCCTTTGCACAGCAAGACTTATTCTTGCTGGAGAATCAAATCCCATATCAAGTCCTCGAGCTGTTGATGAGCTCAAGCGACAAACGTGAGGATTTGAAGAGCGCAATCGAGAGTTTTGTTCAGATGCACATTATTGTACACGTTGAGAAGCAATCAAAAGGGCAGGAACAGAAGCACCAACCAGGAAAAACAGAAAACAGGGAACAGAAGCAAGAACCAGACACAACAGCAAGCACGGAACATAAGGTAGACATAACAGAAAACACAGAAACAAAGCAACAAGAAGGCTTAACAACAGACACTGATCAGAAGCAACAACCAGGCGTAACAACAGACGCGAATCAGAAGCAACAACCAGACGTAACAATGGACGCGAATGACGCGAATCAGAAGCAACCGTAACAACAGACGCGAATCAGAAGCAACAACCAGACGTAACAATGGACGCGAATCAGAAGCAACAACCAAAAGAGCCCATTCATCTTCTTGACCTTCTGCGCAAAAGAATTCTAGGTCCACCAAAAAAGGATGTTCAACAATCAGGCGTAACAACGGACGTGAATCAGAAGCAACAACCAAAAGAGCTCACTCATCTTCATGACGTTCTGCGCAAAAGAATTCGAGGTCCACCAAAAAAGGATGTTCCAAAGAAAGAAGTTGGAGAGTCCTCTAAACAAACTTTTCGTAACGTGCAGGAGCTTAGTGCAGCCGGGATACATTTTCAGCCCAGTAAGACTAACTTCTTGGGGGACATATCTTTTAAGTCTCATTGCTTTGCAGGATTCCTTAGTCTTCCTCCAATATCAGTAGACGACTCAACAGGGCCTAAGTTCATGAATTTGATAGCCTATGAAATGTGTCCTGATTTCCCAAATGATTACGGGGTTACCTCTTACATAGGTTTCCTCGATGCACTCATTGATCATACTGACGATGTTAAGAAGCTAAGGTCAGCGTCTGTGCTGTTCAACTTTCTGGGGAGTGATGAGGAGGTGGCTAAACTCTTCAATGAGATAGGCACTGACTTGGTGCCTAACACTGCCATATACCTCAGTGTTAAAGCCGAATTAGAAAAGCACTACAAAACCAAGTGGAAGACCTGGATGTCTCAGTTCTGTCACGATCATTTCAGTAGCCCCTGGACTATCCTGGCTTTCCTTGGGGTCTTATCAGCACTTGGGTTAAGCGGCATTCAGACTTGGTACACAGTCCCTTCTTAACCCTCTCCCTGTGAGGCTGTATGCCAGTACTTGAAAACACGGCTACACCTAACCTGACAGATACATACAGTTACTAAAATACATGCTTCGGTTGTTTTTACATGCATTTCTTCTTTCTGGTTTGTTTGGCTGCATGGTTTTATACCTTCTAGTTGCCGGTGCCTGTACTGGTATCCAACCTTTCAGTTCTCATTTAAATTTGTGTGTGCGCAAGTGTGACTATAATAAGCCAAGTTGTCTTACTTGGTTGAGGTGTCTATCAGAATGTAATTTAATTTTGTGTGGCCAATGTGTTTGTAAGTTTTCGTTTAAGCAACCAAGTGATTCCGGGCCGTTTGGGAGTGCTTCTAGAATAGTTAAAAGTGCTTTCTGACAACCAAAAGCGCTTCTGATAGCGTTTGGCAGAAATGTTTAGAAGCGCTTTTAGGCCATAAAAGCGCTTTCCGGAGAAGCACCTGTCATGTGCTTCTTCAGGAAGCACTCCCAAGTGCTTTTCCAAGAAGCACTTATGTTTCTTATGAAAATTTCAACGTCTTTATAATAAAAGTGTTTTTGGTAAAAGCACTTATAAGTAGAAGTGCTTCCTAGAAAAGCACTCCCAAACGAGCCCTCCATATGTTGCATATTTTATGAGTTTCTGTAAACTAACCAGCATGTTACATGTTGTAAGAAACATTTCCTAAACATTTCAAAAGCCTCTTGACAAAATTGGTCAGGTGCACAGCAACCTCAGCTCAAATCGAATTTTCTGTTCAAATTGACAAAACCAAATGCAGCCACCCAAAAAGCTCAGCTTGAATCGAATTTGGGGTTGCATTTTAAGTTCTAACCGACCTCAATTAGTCCAACTTGACAAAAAGATTAGTCCAAACATTTTCAGATGAGGTGTAAACAAGCTTAGTCTAAACAATTTTAGAAAAGGATTGAGATTAGAGTTTTTTGCTTTTTGTTTCAGCTTAATGATTTTCTTGGTTACTTCTTGTTGTGACCCTATGAATTCTGCATCAACTTCAATTAACTTTTCCATCTTCAAAACCTGGCCTGTACAGCTCATGATTTAGAGGTAATGTCTCAGCAATGCAACAGTAACCATTATTCTTTCTTGTTCGTTTCCTTTTTTCTTACAAACCAAAATGGGTAAACCGACAGGACAAGAAAACTAACCTTCATTGATTTGATTGCACAGCATAAAAAAAAAAAATCAATAAATAAATAAACAAATTGACTTGCAAGTAAGCACACAACTAGGTAAATTATTTGAAATTTAAAATAATTAAAGCCATGTTCAACAACAAGAGTTTCTGTAAGCTAAGTATTGTACATATAATAATAAGGTACAGATGATTCCTTTTTCTTCCTTTTTTTTTCCTTTTTGTTATAAAAAAAGAGTAGCTGATTCATAATGATTTGCTGACAACTATTAGCAATTGTAAGTATTTTCAAAGATGCAAATTTATCGACGCAATTTGCTTAATACAAATAACATCAGTCCTAATCTCTATCCTGTATCAAGTTGTTGATCATCTTTACCAATGGAAGAGTCCCCTTTGCCATAATTTCTATTCTACTAGCATTAGAAGCATGAGAAAACAGTGAAAGCCCAAAAAATACAAGATCAGGTAGAAAGAGTCGAGATGACAAGAATCCGTGCCAATAACGGGGTTCTAGATCAAAGAATGCATTGAAAAACCTCCGAGTACTTTTCAAATCAAGCTTAAGCAGAATAGCCATACCAAAACAGAAAAACTCCCTTTGTCTCCTCCTTTCTATGGGCCATAAATCTTTCCAAACTTCTGCAGACAGTTCATTTCCTGAAAGAATTCGATCAGAACCAAGGTACTGAACTATCGCATTTGCAACAATAGGAGCCGCTGCCAGAGTCCTTGCAACCATATAACCAGTTGAAGGATGCACCATCCCAGCTGTACCACCAATTCCAACAACTCTTTGAGGGAGCACTGGAAGGGGGCCCCCCATTGGAATGACACAATGCTCATCCTCTTCAATGCTCTTAATTTTAATGCCTAGGTGCCTTAACCTAGCAACCATCCTATCCTGGATATCTTTCATAGGTACTCCAGGCCTAGCTACCAGGGAAGTTTCTTCAAGAAATATCCTATTGGATGAAAAAGGCATTGCATATAGAAAAGTAGGGATCCTAGCATTTCTCTCCTTCAGTTCGATATTATTGTTCAAGTGTGAGTCTCTCCAATCCATAAAAACCATCTTATCTACATCAAATGGATGCTCTTCAACCTCCGCCAAAATCCCATAAGCCACTTGGTAACCTGGATTGTAGGGCTTATCATACTGTACAAGGCATCTTGAAAAACCAGTTGCATCAAGAACCACAGCAGCTTGAATAGTGACACCATCATTGCAAATCAACAGTGATTTTTCCTCCTCGTGAATAACCTTATTTACTTTAGCTTGGTGAAATTTGACACCATTCGATATGCATTTTTGCAGCATCTTGGACTTAAGCTGCTTCCTGTTAACCCTTCCATAAGGTCTGTCAAGATCCTTTTTCGTCTGCTCATCTATGAACACAACAGCACCAGACCAGGTAGTGTCCAGGCAATCAAGCAAATCCATGGCCTCAAATTCATCCACCCAAACACCATAATTATTGGGCCAAATTAATTTGGGAGACGGGTCAATCGAGCAAACAGAAAGCCCTGCCGCTGAGACTTGCTGTGCCACGGCAAGTCCTGCAGGACCGCCGCCTACAACTGCAAGGTCCACCACAAGACCCTTTGATGGGTCATACATGGGAAGCTCAAAGTCAAGACTCTCCTTCTTGGTTTCTGGAACAAGCTCCAGAAGAGCACTGCTACTAGCCTTAACAAGACCAGTCCGGCTCAATTTCATATGAGACTTTCTAAGGCCACATCTCAGCTCCTGGTTTTGAAGCTTCGAAGAATTCAAATTACTAACTTTCTCTGAAAACCCATGAAGCGGGTGCAAAAATTCAAGCTTGTTATGAGTTTTAAGTAATGTATCCATGAATTCCCAACACTTTTCCCAGATATCTCCCTAAAACTCAAACTGGGTCGCCTGAAGTTCCTGAAACTACAGTCTGGGCGTGAAGAATTCTCGCAGTTCCCAACTGAGAACTCAAAATTTCCGAGATGGGTTCACTTTAGGAAACTTAATTTTCACACATACATACAGAAAACAGCAACTGGAGCTCTAGCATTAAAGCCAGAACAATCCTTTCAATCCTGAAAAGATTTTTCTGGGAATTTAGAAGAACAAAAGTACAAAAATCTACAAGAAAGGAAGCTCACAGTGAATTAAAGTAGAGAACTTATTGCTTACCAGAGAGCTGAGAGATATGAGAACGAGAGAAGAAATCATTTTGCAGCCCAAACTCTCCGAGTGACCCAAAGAGATTTGTAAAGGTGAAGCTTGTGTGGCCTGTTCTTGACGACGACAAACCCAAGTGGTATGTGGTGGATGTCAACTGTGCCTCCGTGTCATGAAGTGGCCCGCTGAATCCCGTCACATTTGACACACGTGTCAACGTGATCATCATTGTCCATGCGTTCTTCCTTTGTGAACCAATAATGAAGGTTTGAGTCACATCATTTAAGTGACCAATTTTTCTGGTAAGTTGCCCTTTTTTTTCTAGTGCAAGTTTACCTCTTAAGTGCAAATTTTGGTAAGCTGCCATTTAAGTCACATCATTTAAAATTTTTCTTTTTCAGCTAATTAAGGACGTCATCTTCAAGATACCATACAAATGAGCTAGGCAAATATGTAATTCAACAATTTAAGTGACATGTTGTTTATGCATTCGTTAAGTTGATCACTCCAATCAACTTGATAATATAGTTGTATTAACTATTATTTTATTATTTTATTTTTATATTTTACATTTATTTTTCTCTTTTTTGAAAAGTAGATGGGAAGGAGGAAATGATATTTTGTTATAAAATATTAGTGGGACTTAATACATATTGCTTTTGAGATGTGCAACCTTCCTTTATTAGAGGGATAGGTAAATTTTGTCGCCTTGAATGTCTACTCCATTTTGGCAAAAAGAAAAAGAAATGTCTACAATGGATAAAAATGTTTATGTGGCAAGGCTTTGCTTACTTTTTTGCATACTTTTTTGGAGATGCTCTTAGATCCCATTTGGTTCGCGAAAAAGATAAGTGAAGGAGGGTTTAAATACAGGACCTTTGTTGCAGGGAAATGTTCTTAATGACATGAGTTAGAAATCTTTTACATATTATCCAAACTTTTTAATATCAATTGATGTGGAACATGCATAGTATGTTTGTTACTTATTGGTTGTAAATAAATAAAGTTATTAACGAAACCAAACAAAAGCAAATGAAATTATCAAGGGTCTTGTAACTGAAGTAGTTAAGAACATTTACCCATGCACTTCATGTCCTAGGTTCAATTGGCCCTTCCTTCACTATCGCTTGTTTGAAAAACAGAACAAATGAAATTATATCATATCAATTTGGGATTTAATAAGTTGGAATATAAAACACTTGGGACATCAATCATGCTATATCATCTCACCGCCGACATGGTTTCTCCTCGATTGATTATTGTTTTTATCCTAACTATTAATCTTCTGTTTTTTTTTTTTTTACTTAGTTTGAAGGACAGTTTATATCTTTCAAGATAGTATGAGCTAATAATGTGTACGAATTAGCCTTTAGTCTAATTGTAGTTATCCCCACTTGGTTGGAAATGTCTCAAGTTCGATTCACATATGTGAAGATGATATATATTTGTCATGAGTTTGATACCTATTTAGTGCTAACCTCACTGTGGTGACGTAGGTTTTTTTTTTTTTTTTTTTTTTTTTCCTGTGGGTGTCATGCTATTGTAAAAATGTATTTGAAATTTTTTTAAGAAGGCAAAAAAACCCTAAACAATCTCTGAGAAAAGCCTAACTAAAAAAGTCTCAGTCGCCACCCCATTTGGGGGATGGCCTCCTTCCCTATCTTCTCCCATCTCCTTTCATCTCTTCTCCTCTCCTTTTTCCCTCAAGATTGTTAATTTACATTGTGATGTGGAAGCATTTGTTGTGAAGCAATGTCGTCTCTGTGATATAGTCGTTGTATTTTGGCCCACGTACACAAAGAGTTGGCTCTCTTCAACATAGTTTGGAGCTCTAAAGAGGGAAAAATGTCTCATAACGTATGCACTAAATGCTATTGTTATTAGCTTGTATTTGTGGAGAAATTTTTATATGTTCCGGGTACACCACGTGGATGGTACAACATAGGACATGTGGAATTATTGTCTAACTTACTGCATTTCTTTTTATAACATGTGGCGGGCTGCATTGCAAATATTTCATATGTCTTCTGTCTATTGGATGGTACACTAGCCACGTGGTGTACTCGGAACACCCAAAAATTACTCATATTTGTGAGTTGTAAATGTTTTCATATCATATTAATTACTTTTTATCTCTATATTTATAGTGATGAATCTTGGGTTAAGTTTTCAAATGTTGGGCTTATATGACTTACTTGTTGGGTGACTTAGGAATTTTTTTTAAAGATTTTTATCACAAAACATCCCTGAGGTTCACGAAACTATTAGGTTGCATCCTTTTTATTTTTTGTATATCATTTGTGGTCCTCAATGTTAACATGCATTCTCACAAGTACTCCATGCCGTCATGTTCTGTTCAAAACCTTGCTCGGCCTGAAATTTTAAGGTTCGGGCCGGTCTTTCAGGCATTTTAAAATTTCCAAACCGGGCCGAAGTTTCAAAAGACTTGGCCGAGGCCCGCCCATTGGGCGGGGCGGCCATGGGGCTAAACACCACATGCCTTTTTTTTAAATTTAAAATTAAAAAAAAACTAAATCTTTTAAATCTTATTGTTGCACTTTTTTTTTTTTGGTCAAACGTGATGGATAAAGAGTCTTCTCTCATTACTTCAAATTCTTTATTGAACCATTAAATTTGAACTTGACAAAAACTGGACGCTAAAACGTATGTATATTGCTTGTTTATTACAAAATGTTAGACATAATGGAAAAATTAATTTAATTTATAACATGTGTAAACAAAATAAGAAGTTTATTCGTTTATCATACATATTACATTATTTTGATTAAGTATAAAATGAGGTTAAGGAGTACAACAATTAAATCTTAAAAAAGGAAGGGTATATGTGGTTTGGCCTTGGGACTGCCTAGGCCGGGCCGCGCTAAGTGTTTCAAATCCTAAGCCAAAGTCCTGCCTAACCTTAAAACAAGCTAGGCCAGGCTTTGGCCCATTAGGCCTCGGGCTACCTAATTTGGCCTACGGGCCGCGAGACAAATGATGATCCCTAAGCTACTCAAAGGAGTGTACTCTACTAATATTCATTTTTGTTATTCAGCATCCTTCTTTGATTGATGATTTGGGTTAGGTTCTTTGGGCCTTGGCTTTGACTGCTTATGTTCTAACATTTTGTTTTGTATTAATGTCAAGTTGAGGAGATGGATCCCTATGATGATTTGGTATTTTGCAAATACTATGACTCAATGTTTTCTGAGTACGACTATGCTAAAGAGATCTCTCACATGATCGAAATACACGACTATGCACATGAGGTGTAGAAGGTGACCACAGAAAACAATCCTTTGAGATGCAGCACATAACATCCCTGCCCAAAATGATATTTTATTTTGGAAAATTAGTTTGAAATTACAATTTTTTTTCCTTTGGGCATAGGGGCATTTTAGTCACTTTTTGCTCGAGATCATTTTTGGGAGATTGAGTCACATCATCGCGTGGAGCTTGTATACGAGTTCGTAGACAGGCGGCATGCTCAATTATGAGTTTAAACGAGAAAATTCCAGTCAAGAAACGAAAAGGACTTGTTGGGAATTTGAAATTTTGTTCTTTAAAAACCCTGAATACCCCAGCCCAACATGTGTTACCCTCCCTCCTTATTTTCTCTCTCCCTGACCCTCTCTTTCTCTATGCGCAACGACGCCGAGCCTTCTAGGCCGACGATCATCACCTTCAGGCCGTCCCAGGCCAAGTCGTTGGTCGGGAAAGGACCGCCCCAGGTTGACAATCATGGCTGGGCAAATACCCCACCACCTTAGGCCACATAGCGAGGGCGCAAGCTAGAAGAAGAGTCGAGGGTTTCGATAGTTTCTAGCAACTCCTACCACCATTTTCGTCGATTAAGGTGTGAAACTTCATCCTCTTTCGTGTTCTAGCTATTGGTATAGGGTTTTGGGCTTGATTTTCCAGTTTTAGGGTTTGTTGTGGACACCCATTAAGGCCGACGGTTAGAGAGTGTTTTGGGGCCAAACCGACCACCTTGAGCCGTCGAGTTAAGTATAAACTCTAGTCCCCAGTTTAGTCTGAATGTTTTCATATAGGTATTACTCGTCGATGTGGAAATTTTCTATCGTCAGAAACCGCCCCGATCCACCGCCGTTGCTGGCAGCATGTGGCTGCTCATAGGCCACTTTTCAAATTATATTTTGGTCCTAAAATTATTCTCGTGTTGTTCTGAGGACGACGGTATGCCTGGATACGAGAGATTCATGTTTGCCCGTTTTGCGTTTACTCCTGTGATGGAAGGGCAAAGTTCCCCACTGCCTTGAGAACCATAGACTAGTCAACAAGTCAGCTTTCTTTGGTGTGCGAGCGTGCCACTGCTAGTAATAAAAATTCTAG